GTTCTTTTAATGGCGCCAAAAGAAGATAGGAAAGATCCGGCTTGGGCTTACTCTGAAAGAGTTTGTGAGACCAACAAGATGGCAATTAGATGTCTTTTTTGTGACAAGATTTCAAATGGAGGAATTTATCATCAAAAAGCGCATCTAATCGGCGGTGATCCAAATGTCGCATCTTGTCCTAAAGTTCCGTCGCATGTGAAGGAAGATTTGAAAGCATTCCTTCATAAAAAGAGAGAGTTAAAGACTCAACTGATTCATGAACAAGAACTGTATAATCTTGATGACGATGATGAAACAGAAGAAGATGACGATGCTTCGTCGCTTCCACCAAAATCACAAAAGCGGGGAAGGATGCAACCAATGTCTTCTAGTTGTTGATCTACTGGCAAGACCAAAGGTCCTATGGATTGTTACTTCTCGCAAAAATCTGGAGATAAGGAAGGAAAAAGTGGTAATCCTCAAATTGATGCCAAAACGATTTTGAGGGATCGTGCAATTACAATGTTTGTGCGATGGATGTATGATGCAGGTCTTCCTTTTAATTGTGTTAATTATACTGACACTTTTTCTGCTTTTATTGAGGCCGTAGGCCAATATGGTCCAGGAATGAAGCCTCCAACATATCATGAAGTTAGAGGGCCATATCTAAAAAAAGAGGTGGCAGAGGTGAACAAAATCGTGGAGGAGCACAAAGTAGAATGGAACAAGTTTGGTTGTTCCATTATGATGGATAAGTGGACGGCGAGAAATGGAAAAATGATCATCAATATCTTGGTGAATTCTCCTAAGGGAAGCCTGTTTCTTGAGTCCGTTGATGCAAGCGACTCTTCGACTGATTCAACCAAAATGTACTCCTTGTTCAAGAGTACAATAGACTCTATTGGAGCAGAAAATGTTGTTCAAGTTGTCACGGACAACGCCAGTGAAAATGTTAAAGCTGGCGATTTGATGTCTGCTGGGTACCCGCATATTTATTGGACTCCGTGTGCAGCACATTCCATTAATTTGATCTTCGGTGACATTTTCAAGGAAAGACCCTTTAGTTCAATCTTTAATCAGGCAATTAGAGTGCATTCCTATATTGTTCAAAGGCCTTTGTTATTGAATATGATGAAGAGATTCACTAAACAAAGAAGCTTGGTGAAACCCGCAAAGACAAGATTTGCTACTGCTTTCTTGACTTTGCATAGGATGTATGAGCAAAAAAGCAATTTGAAGAAGTTGTTTGTTTCAGATGAGTACACTAACAGTGCCTATGGAAGGGAAGCTCGAGGGAGAGAATCTGCAGATATTATACTTTCTCCTTCATTCTGGAACAATGTGGTTCATGCATTGAAGATTGGTGGTCCTTTAGTTAAAGTGCTTCGTTTGGTGGATGGGGAGCAAAGGCCACCAATGGGCTACCTGTACGAAGCAATGGATAGGGCAAAGGAGGCTATTCAAGTCTCGTTTAGTGATAAAAGAAAATACAAAAGAGTCTTTGAGATCATAGATAAATGGTGGGATAGTAAGCTTCATAGCCCTTTGCATGCAGCTGGACTTGTTTTGAACCCGGAACTGTTTTATGACAATGAAGAAAGGATTCTAGGAGATGAACCTTTGTGGAATGGATACTATGAATGTATTGAGACGTTGATACCTGAAGAATCCGTGCAAGATAAAATAACAGAGCAATTTAGTATTTATAGAAACGCTTAGCAATTTTTTGGAAAAACACATGGCGATTAGACAAAGAAAGACGAAGTCACCAGGTGAGCGAGTGCTTATATGTTGTTTTATAGTTAATAAGTTATTTCTTTATCAATATTATGTTTTGAAAATTTGTTCTACTTCTACAGTTGAATGGTGGAAGCAATATGGCCATTCCACTCCGGATTTACAAAAGTTTTCCATCAAGGTTCTAAGTCTAACATGTAGCTCATCCGGGTGTGAAAGGAATTGGAGCGTGTTTGAACATGTAAGAACTAAGAAGAAAGATTTAGTATATTGAGATAATTAAATTATATCTCAATTGTCCTAAACTTACTAATTACTTATTATTTGCAGATTCATACCAAAAAAAGGAACAAACTAACCTTGAAGCGTCTCAATGATCTAGTATTCATTAAGTACAATAGAACATTGAGGCGTCGTTACAACGCTCGCAATGTAATTGATCCAATTAGTTTGGACAACATCGATGATGCTAATGAATGGCTAACTGGAGTCCCGGAAGATCATGCAGATGAAGAAGTATTTGAGGAAACTTCTGATTTCACTTGGGGTAATGTTGCGGAGGCGCGTGGAATTGGGGAGAGGATTTATGGTTTGAGGGGGAGTACCTCAACTTCAAGTTCACAGAGGAAGGGAAAAGAGGCAGCTATTTTGTCCCTAGTTGATGAAGAAGAATAAGTTGAAGAAGATGACGAGCAATATAATAATGATAGTGGAATACAAGAATTTGACAATCTTATAGAAGAATAGGATGCTCATTTTGTGCTTTAATTGATGCTACTATTTAGTTTTTACATTGAAGTATTGAACATTTGCTTACAATTACATGTGTTGTCTATGCAATATTATTATTATTATTATTATTATTATTATTTTTTAAATTTCGCTTCACTTCAAAAAAGCGAGTGCTTCGCTTCTCGCTTCTCGCTTTAAGCGAAATGGGGTTTGTCGCTTTTTCTCGCTTCACGCTCTTCACAATACTGGGGAGGGGTATCTAAACCTAATCTATATAAAGGTTTGACTGCCACTTGTATTAATCTAATGTGAAAGAAATTAAATTTCTTTCTATATTGTTGAATATCTTGTGCAACTAATAACTTGATTGTTTCTATCGAGTTATTGATGGCAACAGTTGATTCACAAGTTTTGATGGTATAATTTTTTATAAAATCAAACTTACCATTATGATATATCGTACTATCGGATTCTCTTGGAATACTCCAGTTTTGTAAATCATTTTTAATTTTGGCAATATTCATTACTGCCAGAGATTGGTTTATGTCATTAAGAATTTTACTCTTATCTGAATTATTCATTTTAAAGCTGGGTTGTGCACCTATTGATATAAATTTTTATTGCCTTTAAATTAAAAATAATATAAGTTTTTTGGTTTTTATAACCAGTTAAAGCTAGTTTGCAATTTTTTATTTCTTCTGAAATTTCTAACAGAGTTTGTTTTCTTGGTTTAATCAAAATAAGGTCTTTATAAACTTGAATATTATAATTAGCACAAAAAAAAAATTCTATCAATTTTTCTTAATTGCTTTAAAAGCAACAATTTGTTTTTATTATAAAATTTTATTCTTTTAAAAGAAGGATGTCTTTTCATTAAAAGAAACTTTTTAATGTTTTACCAATATTTGAGAAGCATACTATCTTTAAGGCGTAAGTCTACTTTCTCTGTTATCTTATCATGTATTATTAGACATAATAGGTCTATAATGTTCTTAACTGTATAGTGTCTACTATTTATCCTCTTCTTTACTTACTGATCTATTTCTTAAGTTATCTTGGTCGTGTTCTTAGTTCTTAGTTATCTTGGGGGTTGGGGATTAAACTTGTTAACTGTGTCTTGTTGTGTCCTATCTCTGGCGACACTCTCTAGCCTATGGACAACGGCAACTGACGGCAGTTTAATAAGATTTAATCAACATCCTACAAGGATCCCTCACACTATGAACATTTAACAGTAACCTCACACTAGAGAATAAGATCTGAAGCTTTGAAGAAGATGAACAGTAAACCTATGCAGAGATGAACAATATAGAATAATTAAGATCTATTACATGAATATGATAACAAGATTTCGACGAACCCTAAAGACAGTATGAAAGTTTTAGCCTCTCATACTCAGCAACATGGCTCTGATACCATTAAGAGAGATCTAGGTTTTATCATTTAAACTGATAAAATAAATGCGGAATTAAAATAGTAAGACAAAAATACTTACTTGATGAAAGCTTTATTCAAACATAAGTAAACATTTTACAAAGGAGAGAAAGGATAGAAATAAAATCTTTGGAATTTTTCTGATTTATTTGATTACAATTTTGAAAGTCTTATATAGACTTCTGAAAATTCGTTGAGTTAATCTCAACCTTACAAATGGACGATCCTAGCTTGCTGTCTTTTACTTTGCTGAAAGGCCGTCTTCTGCTTTGCTGAAGGGGTAGGTACTATTTTTGTCCTTTGTGGTTGTCTTTGTCAAGTGACTCTTTCTTTTTTGAAGAGTCGTTTTGCCTTTTGAAAAAGCTACTTTGTTTTGTCGGGTGAGATATCTGACTTTTGTGAAAGGTCGGATGCTATTCTTCATCTGCATAGGTACGGTAGGCTTGAGCTATACCCTGTGGGTCTTCCATGTCTCCGTTGTGTTGATTCTTTGTTGAGGAGGATGTTGATGCTGCTTCTAGCATGGCTTGTACTTCTACTGGGCTTGCTGTATCAATATTAGCTAAGACTTCTAAGAGTCTCTTTTTTAAATCTGATTTGGAACTGGTTGATCCCATTTTGTTGATTGGCTTTGGTTTCTTAATCTTTCTGGATTCAGGAACCCATCCTTTGATTTTTGGTATTTTGACTAAATATTTAATACGTTCGATTTCTTCAATTTCGAATGACCAACTGATTATATATGAAATTCTTTTTGCAAAATAATATTTGCAGATTTTAATATGATCAGATAGAGTAGAAATCTCCTGTTCTTTTTGGAATCTCTCATAGAGGGTGTGAAAGCTTCGGGGCATTGATTGCTCTGTTTCACCAAATGTTTTCCACCAGTCGTAGAACCATCTTGGTATGACTGATTTTGCTGCTTGTTCGCTGTACTTTACGAACCATGTGTGTGAGCCTGGACATAGGTAAATAAAATTGTACCAAGCGTCCATGTAATCTTTGAAATTATAGGTTTGGGGCCGGTATTGTAAAGAGAGCACAATCGGGATGTGTAATGATCCATTCCCCATTCAAAAGGGCTAATAATTTTGTTAATAGTAAATCTTGAATACCTAATACTGTCGGGATCTTTGTCATCTCGTAGCGTATGCTTAAAAGTGACTGATCCTGTATCTGTAAGGATTAATTCACAATACCTCCTTATTTTTAGGGGGTCACTGGTTTCAACGTAGTTTCTATTGGTATAGCAAGGTGTCACGACCCAAAATTCAACTAGTCGCGATGGCACCTGACCCAACTCACTAGGTAAGACAATTACCAACTATCCAATTCCAATGAAATTAATAAGGTAATTAATTAAAAGAAAATAGATAAAACCAATACATTTCCTCAAGAACTAGTAGTACAAATCATGAGCTTCTAAGATTAGAATTTACAAAACTGATATGAAATAATACATCATCTGTTTGAAATGTACATGAACAGATTGTTATAAATCTAAGGCTACCATGAACAAGAGGCAACTACAACCGAAATGCAGGTATATCTTCAGATCCAGCTCCTAACGAACACAGCAACATCAGCAGCCAACATCTGCACGCAAAGTACAGAAGTATAGTATGAGTACAACCAATCCCATGTACTCAATAAGTAACAAACCTAGCCTTAGGTTGAAAGTAGTGACGGGCTTGTACCAAGGTCGGGTCCAAAATCAATAGTCCACAACAGTCCATAACCACGTAAAGCAAATAATACAAGTAGTAACTCAAAGATAAAATTCTCAGCTAAATCATAATTTCAAAAAAAATATTTCTTCCTTTCAAGTACATCAGTGAAAACCCAAATCGTTTACCGAAGTTGCCAAAAATCTGAATAAGTTTGGAAATAATAATTTTCCCAAAAATCCTTTCAATAATAAATGAGATGTTTTATTTTCTTTCCAGATAACCCGTGTATAACAAATGCATCACTATATCCATCTGTCAACATGTGTGAGAAATCATGAATGATGTGATATTGTACAACATGAGAAAAATACATCTCTATGCATGTATGTCATGTGTGCATGTCAATGCGATGCAACTCAGTGATAAAATCATATGCATACTCTTAGAGTATTATTTCACTCAGTCCTCCCAATCACTCAGTCCTCCCAATTACTCGGCACTCGCACTCAGTAGGTACCTGCGCTCACTGGGGGTGTGTATAGACTCCGGAGGTGCTCCTTCAGCCCAAGCGCTATAATATGCACGGATAACTCACGTGCTGTACGGACAACTCACGTGTTATAGTATCAATATCTGTATCTACACGGACAACTCACGTGCTATAATAAATCCTATAAGGCCTGCTACAGGCGGGCAGCCCTGATCCACATAATAATAAAGTATATAAAGCCAATATGGCTTGTTGCGGCGTGCAACCCTGTAACACCCCGGACAAATGATTTAAAATTTTAAAGTGCGCCAACAGTATATGAGAATAACGTATTTGAGTATTAAAGGAGACCTATGGGATAGAGCCACATCATGTTGAATTGATAATGTATGTTTAAGGTGTGTTGGAATATACTAAGGTGTTTTGGGAATGACAAGAACTTGTGTGGAACAAGTTGGACACATTAAGTGGAAAGGAAGTTCCAATTGTCACAAGATCCAACTTCAAATAAATATAAATCCCTAAATATAATGACTTAGGTGGTAATCTACCTATTGTTGCGACCAAACACACTCACGCAAGTATACGCGGTCGTCAAGTAATAAAGTGACTAAAAGTCGGATGTCGAACCCACGAGGACTTATGATTAACTATTA